TATCCTTGCCGCCAAGTCCCATGATAACATTTCCAGCAACAGCACCTAAACGAGGATTGCGAAAAAAAAATTTGGAAAAGAATCCTTCAGAATGATGTACGCACCGATGATTCTTCCAGTAGCTGGATCAACTCCAAGGAAACGATGAGCAGCTTCACCGATAAGATCACCGAGGATGTTTACCATTCCACCGCTCAGACGATTTGGATTGATATTTCCTCCTATAAATGGTAGATTATAAGAGTCTAGAAGTAAAAAAAAATGTGAGGAGTGTTCTTTGACAAACCTCCGCCACCATACTGTCCTGCACCGCCACCAATGAGACTACCAATACCACCAAGGATATTTCCAATGTTGCCTGCTTTTCCACCACCACCGCTGATCGAATTAATGACGCCTAAACAAGAAACACTTATTTAAAAAAAAATGTCAAAAAAAGTATGCGCCTGAAAATAAACATGCATAGACAAATGGCATGTTTTGACTTCATGTCTCCTAAAAAGAAGGAAAACGAACCTCCAATATCATTCATATTGAATCCACCACCTCCACCACGTGATCGGTTACCACCACCGCCGTAACTTCCATCGTCGTATCCGCCACCGCCGCCGTAGCCTCCTCCTCCTCCACGGCTTCCTACATTTTGAGCTATTTCCGACTGACAAGGGGAACTTTGGAGGCAATTTAGATCATCAGTAATGGCAACCCCAATATAATTTAAACTGAGCTTACAAGGCAATGCCTTAGTACAGTAAATTTAGACCGGTCCTCATCCTTCTTAAAGCGTTTTTTAGAAACAACTAACATCCTGTATGGCAAAGTCGGTTTTGAGCTCACGTCTCAGGAGGGATAGTGCCCCACAACATATCAAGTAAGGATTCCACTTTCGTTGAATCACCCTTTTCTGGTGAGCAACTTATTTGCTTAGCAGCGCATAAATAAAAATTCAGATGATAGTTGTAACACTCTAACACTTGACCCGAAATTGCTGCTATTGTACTGCTAAACCTCTACTTAAGCATTTGCCCAAATTTTTTG